ACCTCTGTGGACCTTTGTTTTCTCATCTGTAACATGGGATGAAAGCAGACGTCCAGCCTTCCTCACAGGGTTGTTAGGAAGTTTAGGTAAGATAACCATAAGGTGCCTTAGAGACTGAAAACCCTGAGCCATCGTAAGGGATAGATCCTAATGCAGTGCATTGTCCCAGTGAGGTGGTTCACACGATAATTCTTAATTCCACAGAGGAGGGCTGGTCTGGTGCAGTGGCTGTCGTTGACATCACAGTCGATTGATAAGGTTGATGTGATGCTTTGCACTGGGAATTACACTCGAGAGAATGACTCCAAGTTCAAGAGGAAGGGTTGAGTGGCTTCTCATTTAAATATTTCATCCCGCAAACAAACTGCATTCACTCAGCCATGTGTCAGTAAAAAAAGACATTTTTCATGTACACACACACTGTTGGGTGATGATAATAATAATAACTTCCTTTATGTATTTACCATGAATTAAATGTTACAGGGTTACTTCAATTCTTAGAATTCTATGATGTGCTTACTCTTTCTTTTTTTTTTTTTTTGTTTCGATAGGGATCTCGTTTGCTGCCCAAGTTGTCTTGAACTCCTGGCCTCAAGTGATCCTCCTGCCTCGGTCTTCCAAAGTGCTGGGATTACAGGTGTGAGCCACCATGACCAGCCTAAGTGAATTAATGTTTGATTCTAGATAATCTCCAGCTAGACAAGCCCCACTGTGGAAAGGTGGTAGCAACAAGTTGTGAAATAATTTTGAGACCATTTAGTTCTTGTTGGCCTCAGGATGGCAGTTGTGACTGATGGAGCAGGTGTTTTTTTTTTCTTTCTGTTTTTTTTTGTTTTGAGATGGAGTCTCGCTCTGTTGCCAGGCTGGAGTGCAGTGACGTGATCTCAGCTTACTGCAACCTCCGACTCCCTGGTTCAAGAGATTCCCCTGCCTCAGCCTCCCGAGTAGCTGGGATTACAGGCGTGTGCCACCACGCCCAGCTAATTTTTGTATTTTTAGTAGAGACGGGGTTTCACCATGTTGGCCAGGATGGTCTGGATCTCCTGACCTGGTGATCCACCTGCCTCAGCCTCCCCAATCCCTCGGCCTGGGATTACAGGCGTGAGCCACCGTGCCTGGCCCGAGGGTGGTTTCTTTAGCACCTCTTCCTCTGTCCCTCCTTTCTCTGAATCTTGTGCTTAAATCACTCCCTGGCTACTCACGACCATAATCCCTCTTGCCTCACATAGTCAAAACCCACTTCTCTTGAGTCTCTGTGTCCACTGTGACATGTCATATGACCAATTCAGGAGAACTAACTCTGGTCGTGATTACTAGGTGCAAAGATGATGAGTCTAGGAAGATAAAATC